AAAGATAACAGAAGGGGGCGGACTTGTGTGATTAACCTTTCTATCAGTAGCACCTCTTCATTTTAATTGCTACTCAATCTGAGCTCTCTCTCTTTTGCTCTGTAGCAATGGCTTTTCGGGTGGGGGGCAGGGATAGGAACTGAAGTGCAGTAGCAAAAAAAAAGGTGCACACACAAGAATGCACATATAGAGAAGCTTCTGTTCTAAATCTTGCTTTCCTTAAGCAGCTTTTTTCTGAAGGATGAAGAACATAAAAGAGTGCAACGGGTAAAATCACATGGCGTGATTCTAAATCCTCAAACACATGATTCGCCCTCTGCAGCAGATTGAGTCAACACGACTTAAAGACTGGGTTGGTCTTGTTCAGTTGTTGGGTCAGTCTTGCATCCCGTGGAAAGCACAAAGAAAGACAACCTGTAGGCAATTGTGTCATTTCTAACTCACAACCCATGCAAATCTGTGTGCAGTCCCTACTCCCTTATCCTTGGCCCACGCTTCACGGCTTGAACACAGCTTCTCAGTTTTCAGATGGATCACATGTCCAAAATCCATGAGCAACAATACAGGTTATAACAAAGGTCATGTCATCCTGTGCATGTTTACTTCAAAGGCAACTTCCACTAAGTTCATTATTATCAACACACCTAAAAACATGAAATCTCGTCTGATTCCAGAAGCTAAACAGAATTATGTGTGGCTACCACTTAGAAGGGAGACCGCCAGGGAAGACGAGGAAAGGAACGCACCAGAACCAATAGGACTGAGATTCAACAACACTGGACTGGAAGGGACCACGGCCTGACTCAGCACCAAGTAATTTATTATATTCCTATGGGGCTTCTGCCTGAGAACGTACAGGGTTGAATCTGTACATTGTTCTTAGGACCAGTGATAGGAAAATTCACTTTTCTGTACTACTTTTCCCAGAATACCTCATCTAGCACGGCCAGTCCAAAAACATATACTGTAGATACTTAGGAGCAATGTAACTTCTTTTCTCTGAACAAACAGACAAAAGTATTGTGGCACCTTTATGAGTAACAAACTCATAACTCAGTGCTGGATTTCACTTGTTAAGATCCTTCTTCAGAAACGTCTTTAGAAAACATTCAACACAACATACTCCTACAGCTCTTTGCCACAAGCTTTAAGTTTAGCCCTGGCCATATAGTATCTGGTTACTAATCATATGGAGGAATACAGAAAATTCAGTAATGAACTCAGTGTTATGGTAGCTACAGTGTCCACTTTTTCCAAAATGTTGGAAACGCAAGGATAGACTATAGAACAGGTCACTTGCGGTTAATATCAAAATATATTTTGTTTAAAATAGCTTCCTAAAATTGGCTCTGTCCTTCTTAGATTTTTTTTGACGATGCCTTAATTAGGATTATGAAAACTGATTGTTAATTTTTTAAAGACTAAGATGGTGAGCACTCCAACACTGCAAGCATTCAAGAGAAAATTGGACCACATCAATCACATCTGCGTTGATTTGGATTCCTGCTTTGAGGAGGGGGTTGGACTTGATGACTTCATAGGCCCCTTCCAACTCTATTCTTCTATGATTATTGGGTAAAGAATGGGTACTTAAATTCAGGACTGGCTCTATCATCATGCAGAGTGAAGTGGACAGTTACCTCTAGCAGCAGATTACATGTATCATGAAATGTCCATGTATTGTTAGAAATTTGCACAATGATTGTGGCATTTTACTGACACCGTAGAGAGATGTTCTGTGCACCTTCACCTGGGAGAATTGGAAGCACCATGTCTTCCTTTATCTCAGGGAGCGAAATGTCTGGGGCTGGTTTTGTTTATATTGCATTATTTTACAAAACAAGTCCGTTTATATTACTAAATGTTGGCAGGATAGCTCATGATCCCAGAAGAAGGGAATGGTAAACCAGTTCTGATTACTCTAGCAGGAAAATCTTTGAAACAGTTGCTATTAGTCACAATTAACTTGATGACACATTATCATCATCATCATCATCATCATCATCATCTTCTTCTTCTTCTTCTTCTTCTTCTTCTTCTTCTTCTTCTTCTTCTTCTTCTCAATTAAGTAATTTGACTCTTCCTACTTTGTAATCTGCCTGATTACTGAATCAGGAATTGGTAATTCTTTCTTTCTTCCCCTAATACATATACTGGGGCTGATTTTCATGAAATAGTCAGTTAGCTGATTATTTTGCTATATAAACTCTTTTCTTTACATGTGTGTATCTTTTGGTTTTCATTTTATATTCATATTTACTACAAGTAATTGCTTTGTTTGTATGCCATTTTGTAAGCTACTTTAAGTCCCTGAACTGGGAAAAATCAAATATGGTATCCAGTGTGGTGTAGTGGACTGGATAGTGATGGACTAGGACTCAGAAGACCTGGGTTCAAATCCTCACTCAGCCATAGGTGGTTCCGGTAAGGCCACTCCCTAAATTTCTTATTTACTTTGAAAATCCTGTTATGGTCACTATAAGTCTGATGAGACCTGACACAGCACATTTTACACACACACACACACACACACACACACACACACACAAACACAAACACAAACACACACACACACACATTAAATGAATAAACTAAAAAATATACCAACGGGACAGACTGGGGAAAATGAATGAGTGTTCCGCTTGTTAGTGTCAATGGGAAACAAAAGTATTTGGAAAAGATGGATAGAAGGATTAAAACCTATTTCCTCTGCAATTAAGTCCTTCAAGAAAGCATGCTTGAAATTGCACTTGTAGTTTAATTTACAGAGAATGATTTACTTATAATGGTGAAAAATATGTTTCCTTCCATGTGTCCAAGAATAAGTCAAACAAGGTGGTAGTGATAAGGCTTGACATCTCTATCTGGATTTGGAAAAAATAATTTGTGCCGAAGGGCAGACCCTTATGCCCAGGACTAAAATCTATGCCCAGGGACTCTCCTCCCCCCCCAAAAAAAATTGGTCCCTCTTTTCACGAAGCCTTATTCCGAGGGACCCTCGGAGCTGCGATGGTTCTCAAAGCTGGCTGAGAAATGGGTGTTCTATCAAGATGGGCACGAGGCATTTCAAGCGAAGAAGCCCGCTGAGGGTCAGCTCACGTTGGCAGTGAGTGGGCAGATGCTGCCTTGGCATCTTTCGTCCCTTGAAATGGCTGCCCGGCCATTTCGAAGCTAGGGTTAGCTTTGCCTCTGCTAACCTACTACATGGTCTCATTCTCAGATTTGGACCAACCTAGACAAGTTGCCACACCCTCACTCCGCCCAAGGTGGGGCCAAAGCCGCCGCACTTTGGCTTGGGGCCCATCATGTAGAACCCGTTATATGGGGAGTGGAATCACGATGTCAAAACATGGAGGTGGCCTCTGGCAGAGAATGGGTTAATCCACAGGAAGGATTGTCAAGTGGAGGGAAAAGGTGAAGATGAAGGGGGGGGGAGAGATGGGACTCAAGAGCCAGGGCAAGGAAAATCAGGCAGAAGCTCTTCTCAGATTTAGCTGGGTCAGAATTAATCGATCCGTATTTGACAGACCAGAAAAACAGAGAAGAAAGAAGTTTAACAACATCTTCACAGGGAGCAAGAAGATCAGGCAGGATGACCGAGCAGGCAGCATTTTGGAAACCAGCCCATCCACTTTTAAAATGCAAAGTCACAGACATGGGGGGGGGAGAGAGGGAAGATGGATGGAAGAGAAAGGCAGAGCCCCCTCCCAATGCTGTTGACCCCCCTCCCCATGCATGGCACCCCCCCCCCCACACTGAAGCAATAGGAGATACTGATCCCCAGGGAGGACAACTGACAAGGGAAGAGCGGATGCATGAGCCATTTCTGAGATGCTCTGTTGCCAGACTGTGCTTTAGAAAGGAAATATGATAAGAACACCAGCATGGAACAACACAGAAGGTTAAGGGTTGGGGAAGGGGAAGAGGACCATTCCGGCTTCGATCCTGTGCACGTCTCTGCCTGGAAGGGATCTCCCCTTGAGCAAGGCAGGCTTTCCAGCAGAGTCCATCTGCACACAACTGGCTTGCTCCTTGACTTGGGGGTAAAGCCCATTACACTTAATGGGCAGAGCAAGTGTGTTGTGCAATGCACTTGGCTTGAGGTCGGATCCCTCCTTGGCAGTTGTGGGAAGCACTCCTGAGGAAATCGCCCCAGGATCACACCTTGGCTTGGGAAACCGAAACCCCTGGTATCTGAGTGCGGCTGCCTTCTCCGAGTAAACCCACCAAGGTTTCGTCTGTAACTTTGCAAAACTGTGGGTATTTTTTTTGTGGTGTGTGTGTGTGTGTGTGTGTGCAGGGGGGATGAGACGAGATGTTTCTGTTTCTTTGTCCCATCATCCTGTCCATTCACAAGGGAGAAGCTACTCCACTAGCATCCTTGTCTCTCCCCACCCACCCACCCCCCATTTGCTGAGCTGAAACGGGTACCCATCCTTCTCTGGTCCAAAGTTCCCTTTCTCTCCCTACAGAGGCATTTTTTAGAAGGAGGGAGAGCGAGAGAGAAACGGGTGGAAGGATGCCTCCAGGAGAGTAGGTGGACGAGGGTGGGGGGAAAGCAGAGGATGGCGGTGGCGGCATCTCCACCTCCCTTCCCCGCGGAAGGGGGGGGAAAAACCCGAGACAGGGCCAGGCTGGGACTCCCGACCTCTCGGCTCCCCAGCCACCCCCATCATCCATCCCAGGGCCCCTCCACAAAAGGCAACTGGAAGATGGGACTTATTCTACAAATGGTTCGAGTCGTCAGCCATCGCTGGAAGGACGTGGCATTAAAACGAGAACTTACAATCTGGAAGGCAGAAAACAGTACAAAGCGCAATTGGGAATTTTGAAATGGCCAGAAATGGATGTTGGTAGGTCATCGTCTCTCCTCTTCCCCTTCACCTCCATCCCTTTTTTCCTTCCTGCTACCCTTTGTTAAAAAAAATATATTAAAAAATAAATGAATAAATCCATCCCAAGGCCCCAAGGAGAGTAATAATAAGATGATGATACTGGACCAGGCTTTGACGCGCAGCTTGAGCTCCCCTTCTTGAGGCTCCGGCATGACTTTTTTGGAGACCCGGAGCTTGTTGAGGCCCCCGAAGGCGGAGAGCACCACGGCGCGCATCTCCTTGGCATCCGCCGCCCGGGGGCTGCCGGGGGCCCCGCCGGTGCCTCCACCGCCGCCGCCGCCGCCACCACCTCCTCCTCCGCCTCCGTTTTCAGCAGCCTCGGGCTCGATCATCTGCTCCGTCTCCTCGGCTTTCTCGGCCCCTTCCTTGGCTTCCTCCTCCATCATCCGTGCCCTTGCATGCCGGATGGACCTGATGGAGTCGGGTTAGGTCTGGAAGCTTTTTTTGCGGATGGGGAGAGTGTCTGGGGGGGTTTTTTCTTCGACCATTCATCTGGGTGCCAAGGAACATCTCTTCCACATTTTCGCTTCCTGTCTCCTCCACCTTGGTTCTCAGAGCCCTACCAGCCACAACATCATCAACCTCCATGAAAACTCGGTTTGTGATGTGATGTATTTTTTTAAGGGTCTATAAGGTAAAGGTAAAGGTTCCCCTTGACAATTTTTGTCCAGTCGTGTTCGACTCTAGGGGTTGGCGCTCATCCCCGTTTCCAAGCCACAGAGCCAGCGTTTTGTCCGAAGATAATCTTCCGTGGTCACGTGGCCAGTGCGACTTAGACACGGAACGCTGTTACCTTCCCACCGAGGTGGTCCCTATTTATCTACTTGCATTTGCATGCTTTCGAACCGCTAGGTTGGTGGGAGCTGGGACAAGCGACGGGCACTCACTCCATCACGTGGATTCGATCTCACGACTGCTTGGTCTTCTGACCCTGCAGCACAGAGGCTTCTGTGGTTTAGCCCGCAGCGCCACCACGTCCCATTAAGGGTCTATAAAGGTATCGCCTATTTTTGCATTTGGAGTTTGTTTTGTGATGACCACACGGCTGCCCTTCACATCACCAACTTGAGGGTTAATGGGGACACGGGAGAGGGCCTTCTCTGTGGCAGCTCCCAGGGTATGGAAAATGAGGCTGGCCCCTTCCCTTTTGTCTTTCCACCAACAGCGGAAAGACCCACCTTTTCATGAAGGCTTTAAATAATTGTGATTTGTGTCCGTGAATGCCATTTTTCAAGTTAAGATAGCTTTTAACATTTTTTTGTCCTGCTATTATAATTACACTAGTGTATTTTAATCAGATTTATAGTTTAATCGTTTTTAATGTATAACCACCACAATTTTAGATTTGTACCCTACCTATCATCATACCACACCATCGTTTTAGATGTACATCTTGCCCATCACTGCCATCTCCTCCACCACCATCGCTGTCATCCATTGACTTTTACGACCCCCAACAAATGGAACTCAAAGACACTAACAAGAAAATGAATAAAGCATTAATGAACTAAAGCATGTTTAAAACCAGATCAAAAGCAAATGAAACAAAACAGAAATAAATGTTAGGCTAAATCAAAGTTTGGGTCAAGAAGTGGTGTGTGTTCTGTGCTGTCAAGTTGGAACTGAGTTATAGCAACCCTAATAGGGCTTTCAAGGTAAGTGAGATATTTAAGGAGTGCTTTTACCAATTCTTCTCCCCCAATGAATTTCCAAGGCTGAGTGGAGATTCGAACCCTTTTCTCCAGAGACTTAGTCCACCAGTGAAATCATTAAAAGCAACTCTACTTGTGACTAACACATCCCATTCATTTCAAAGTATCTTCTCAAGCTAAACCTAATAGTGGATTTAGCCCATAAGGATTATCGTTCAATGCAAGAGCTATTTTTCATTTTCCTCCTCCTCCTACAGATGGATACACATATTCTAGGCCTCAAGCAAAGATATTTTTTACCTTTGGGTTTTCGTTTATTTGTAAAAAAAAATTAAGAAGAGGTGTACGTAGCTGTTTCAGAATCATTTTAACAAAAGAAACATAAATTATCAACACAGAAACGACCCACCTTTGGGAAGGATAAAAACAAGCTCCTCCTATCTTCTCTTCCCATTTATAAAAGTCTAATTTGTGTAATTCCAGAAGAGGGAATATTTGAACATGGTATTGTATCTGCACATACACACAAGCTGAACACATGTGACTCTTTCACACGGCATTCAGTATAACAAATGTGCACAGAGGATATTATTCCGTGAACTATTCAAGGTAGTTCTTTCCATTTGAATCTACAGATAGACCTTCCCACTCACTCGCTCTGTAATGTAGGAGTGGTCATACTTACTTACTTACTTACTTACTTACTTACTTACTTACTTACTTACTTACTTACTTACTTACTTACTTACTTACTTACTTACTTACTTACTTACTTACTTACTTACTTACTTACTTACTTACTTACTTACTTACTTACTTACTTACTTACTTACTTACTTACTTACTTACTTACTTACTTACTTACTTACTCCTACCTACCTACCTACCTACTTACTTACTTACTTACTTACTTACTTACTTACTTACTTACTTACTTACTTACTTACTTACTTACTTACTTATATCCTGCCCATCTAGTCATTGACTACTCTGGGTGGCTCACAACAAGTGGAATAAAAACAATTAAAATATAACAACAGTTTACAACAATAAACATTTGTAGGGTTGCAGGGCAGACAAAAGATTACAGCAAACCATGTGAAGGACTTTGAATGCTGAAAAAAAAAACCTGAGGAAAGGAGCTACAGCCCTCCTCAAAATTCTCCAGGCAGAAAGGCCAAGGGCCTTGATACCAGCGTATTCTGGGAACTGTGCCCCCAAAACATGGGTAACTTTTCCCAGCTATGCTTTTGATGCATTATAGAAATCTAAAGCATTGTTGTACCAAAGTTCCCTAGAACAATGTACTCTCGAAGGCTTTCATGGCCGGGATCCAATGGTTGTTGTGTCTGACAGAGTTCCGACTCCTGTCCTCTGAAGATGCCGGCCACAGAGACTGGTGAAACGTTAGGAAGAACAACCTTCAGAAGACGGCCAAAGAGCCCGAAAAACCCACAACAACTTCCCTAGAACACTGATCGATTGACTGACTGACTGACATTATTTTTACTGTTTGCTAATAAAACATTGACTGGTTGGTTGACTGAAATATTTCCATCCTATCTTACACCTGAGTATTTCAGGAATATAGCCAATAAACTAGCTTAAAGACTAATTTTTTGGTAAAGGTGACCAGTTCAATCTATTTTTTTTTAAAATACCAACAACATAAACCAGTCAGGCTAACCTGCACTGACTGAACCTCAAAAGACTGAATATCCGGATGTTGATACTGGAATGACAGGACATTCAATCTGCCAAGGGAGGGCATTAAAAGACAGAAATGTTCTCCATAAGGGGGCAGCAGACACGGCCAGAACATTGCACAGCTAAGGTACCCCAGGTGAGGAAGCCCTCTTGTATGTCTCTACATGGCCTACTGCTCTGAAAGAGCAAACACAGAGGAAAACCCCACTGACTGCTCTTCATCCTCAGGCAGAGAATTGCATTCCCTCAAGCACTGCGAGTAATGTATTTGGAAATGCTGCCCTAAGTGAATGACATTATGTCCACCTGTACTAGGAATGGAACGCAATAGATGGGAAACCCTGACCTCTGAGCGTTCAGCCTGGAGGCAGGTGGAGCATCATGGCCTCTCCCAATTTGAAGAGACCCTTGTCCAGCAGGCTGAGGCAAAGAGGCCGTCCCGAAACCAGCAAAATCAGGGAGCTGGACAGGGAACAGATTGTATTTGTCTTCAGTGTGGAAGGGATGGTCACTCTTGAATTGGCCTTCTCAGCCACACTAGACGCTGTTCCAAGTCGTTAATAGAGAGCGCGCGGCCATAGTCTGTCAAGACTGAAGGATGCCTAATCTAACTACTGTACTCTAATACTCTCTTGGTTCACTAAATATGCTTGTTACATGGGATGAAGTGGCTGTGGGAGCTTCAAAAATTCCAGTGTGCATGTATTAACAAACATAGTCCTTTTAAATCAATTTATTCTATGATTCATCTTTGAGCCTTTAGTTCTGATTTCCTTCCTTCCTTCCTTCCTTCCTTCCTTCCTTCCTTCCTTCCTACCTACCTACAGCTTCTTTAGATCACATTTAGCTGCCTTTGTAGGATGAAGATATAAAGAGACATTTTAAATAGTTCTCTTCTTTGACTATGATTGCCTGTCTTGGAACCCAAAAAATGCAGACTTCTCTGAAATTGTGCTTTTGAAATGAAAAGGAAGAAGGAAATGTACTCATTTGCTCTGTCTTGTCTTTTCTTCTGGGGCATTTTCTTCTGCTGAGCTACTCGAATGAAACCCCTTCCATAACTTCTATTCCATCTCACACCTAACAAGCACTTTTGCCTGCATGAAGAAATGAAGGATTTGGTGCTAACAAGAGAACAATGGCGAAGAAAATCCTTTCCTGAGCAAGAAAAATCTTTGCTAATTACTGTAAGTAGTGTGTTAGTTGATAAAATGGGAAACACAAGGAGAAAAGGTCCCAGATGTCAAGTGGGTAAGAAAACTGGTGGGTTTGGTTCTCATGATGACGAGATGAAAGGTGCTCTGCATTTCTCTAAGGACCCTTTCGCTTTCCAGAAAAAAGGAGAAAAACAAAATCAGCTGAATGATGAGGGAAGTTCAAACTCTTAGCTTCATGATTGTGACATTAAAACTAATCATACAACAGTCCTCCTTCCTTCTGAAAATTAAGCAAGAATCGTTTCCAAGCCTGCTCCATCATAGCTAGCAAAAACCAGCACCTAATATATTTGTGAGTTTTGTACTTTTGTTAATGATACAGGAGCACAACTGATGAGGAAACTGGCAATGTCTGCATGATATTCACCTGTAGCTTATTGTGGATGCTTCCTACAGGGAACTGGATGAAAAAGGACAGAAGAGCAGCTCATTCTTCTAGGGATGTAGGTATGACAGTGAGGCCTCCTCTGTATATTCAGGAATCCAGCATATCTCACAGATATATAAAGCACATCTCATCAGTAAATGATCCGCAGTTGACCTTATCAATTTGAAAGAATATTGAACGCTGTGTTTTCAACGGAGCTGGTTTATTGTCCCAGCAGAACTATTTTTAATTTTAATTTTTTTACCGCAATAGGTCACAATGTTTATTGTACAGTCTAGGCTGAAATAAGGCTGCATGAAATATTTATGTTATTATCAGTCAAATTAGTGGTTCCAGCCTTTTTGTGTTAATTGCCCGCCATTTTAAAATGCCCACCAGTTACTTCCCTAAACAGTTCTTGC